TGGTCACACAGAGTTACCTTGAATTGAGACAAGGAGTCTAGAGCCCATTAAACACTCATTGCCCTGTCGTTAGATATACGCTGCCGACAATGAAGAAAGGCAATTCACTTCAGCTAAGGTCAGTGTTTGGAGGGAGACTTAAATGCAAAAAGGCAGTTCTTAGCATTTCCAGTAGCTATGGAAGGATTGTTTCATTACTGAAAGCAGAGAATTAGAAATGTGTGGAGCAAATCAAAGTGCTGATTTCAAAAGGCAAATCATCACCACCTGATATAAAAAATTTCCTTTCTTCACAATTACTTTTTTACATTGTCTAATTTTCCTTTATTTTTTATCCGCCATAAAATATTGATCTTTCTTACTTGTTTATTTTGTCTCCCTACACTACATTATAATCTCCAAAAGAACAAAGAATATTTTTCACTTGTTAAGAGCTGCTAAATATAGCAAATAAAATGTATTTCCCACACAGTATACAATAAATAACTATTAGTACTGACTGTGACTAACAGAAACACTTATACTAGATTATAATAATTTCTCTGATAATATTATGCTAAGTGAGCAATAAAGCAGTTAGGAAGAACACTGCTTAGAGGGAGCTGGTGTCCTAGTCTGCTTAGACTTTCATAGAAAACTCCAAAGATTGGGTGGTTTAAATAATAGAAATGTATTTCTCACAGTTCTGGGGCTGGAAAGTCCAAAGTCAAAGTAACAGTTGATGAAATTTCTGCTGAGGGCTTTCTTCATGGTTTGTAGACAGCTGCCTTCTCACTGTATCCTCACATGGTGGAAAGAATAAGATCAGTATTTCCTCTTTTTCATCTTACAAGGACACCAGCCCTATCATATTAAGGATCCACCCTTATAACTGCATTTTACTTTTATTACCTCCTGCTTATATTTCAACATACAAATTTGGGGGAATAACAAACATTAAGTTCATAAAATTTGGGTTAATGTATAAAACTTCCTGAAAGAAGATTATAAAAATAAACTTTCTGAATGAAGTAACTTTTTTGCAGCCATTTGCTGGTAAATGTTTAATAACTGACACTTGGGGACAATGAATGTTGGTTGATAATTTATGCTTACGAGTAAAATAAAGTAAAACAATAAAAATGTATGTCAGGAGCAGTAGCTCATGCCTGTAATCCCGGCACTTTGAGAGGCGGAGGTGAGTGGATCACCTAAGGTCAGGAGTTCGAGACCAGCCTGACCAACATGGTGAAAACCCATCCCTACTAAAAATACAGAATTGGCCAGTTGTGGTGGTGCATGCCTGTAATCGCAGCCACTGGGGAGGCTGAGGCAGCAGAATCGCTTGAACCCAGGAGGCAGAGATTGCAGTGAGCCAAGATCATGCCATTGTACTCCAGCCTGGGCAACAAGAGTGAAACTCCATCTCAAAACAACAACAACAACAAAAAAGTATGTCAAAACTGCACTTGCTTATTAATGATGTGAGCAACTGCTTTGTTGAACCAGATATTTGTTTTGGGAGACTGGAAGACTATTTCCTCAATATTTTTGTATGTATTGGCAGTTGTAAAGACTACAAACACACTTTCCATTTAAGTTTAATCTGCTTTGTAAACATTCGCTTCATACTTTCCTAAATCTAGACAGTCAAGAAAGTGAATTAATCCAACCCTGCTTTGATATTTGCTGATTTCCATGGTAAAAGTAACCTCACTATGATCAATTTCAAACTACCAAATGGATGTCATTGATCTTGAAGTTAGAAAGAGTACAATAGTACAATAGTACAACACAGAATATTATTTTCAACATGTGTATGTAATAAATATAAATAATAGTAAAATGAGGAAAATCATCACAAAGTCATTAATTTTAAGTATACATTTTGTTTTAAAGTAATGTTTGCTTATAAGTTATCTAATTTAATACTTAGGCTTCTTTAAAAACTGGGTTGCACAGCCCCATCAAAAAGTGGGTGAAGGATATGAACAGGCACTTCCCAAAAGAAGACATTTATGTAACCAACAAACATATGAAAAAAAAGTTCATCATCACTGGTCATTAGAGAAATGCAAATCAAAACCACAATGAAATACCATCTCACTCCAGTTAGAATGGTGATCATTAAAGAGTCTGGAAACAACAGATGCTGGAGAGGATGCAGAGAAATAGGAATGCTTTTATACTCTGGGTGGAAGTGTAAATTAGTTCAACCATTGTGGAAGATAGTTTGGTGATTCCTCAAGGATCTAGAACCAGAAATACCATTTGACACAACAATCCCGTCACTGGGTATATACCCAAAGGATTACAAATAATTCTACTGTGAAGACACATGAAACATAGTTTATTGCAGCACTATTTACAATAGCAAAGACTTGGAACCAACCCAAATGCTTATCAATGATAGACTGGATAAAGAAAATGTGGCACATACACATCATGGAATACAAAGCAGCCATAAAAAAGGATGAGTTCATGTCCTTTGCAGGGACCTGGATGAAACTAGAAACCATCATCCTCAGCAAACCAACACAGGAACAGAAAACCAAACATCGCATGTTCTTGCTCATAAGTGGGGGTTGAACAGTGAGAACACATGGACACAGGGAGGGGCACATCACACACCAGGGCCTGTCAGGGGATTGGGGGAAAAGGGGAGGCCTAACATTAGGACAAATACCTAATGAACGTGGGGCTTAAAACCTAAATGACGGGTTGATAAGTGCAGCAAACCACCATGGCACATGTATACCTACGTAACAAACCTGCACATTCAACACATGTATTCCAGAACTTAAAGTAAAATCAAATAAAATATAAAAAATAAAAAACTGTGTTGCAAAATTACTGAACATTGAACAGTTCGCTCTCATGGACTCGGCTCCAGCACAACACTGCTTTTTCATGAATAAGGTAACCTGGTGGGGATACTAACAGTAGGTAAGGTGAAAAATGGCAAGAAATACATTTTCATGGATGCCTCATGCATGGATATGAAAATTCTTCAAGAAATAACACGGAATATTTGATGGACTTAAAGCAGTTCTGTATGTATAAAGAGTCACTTTTTTGCAGAACATGATAAACAGGAAGTGGGCAATCATTAAGGGCCTCATATGTAATATTAAGAAGTATAGTCTTGGCTAATTTATATTGTGGTAAGAAACAATCCTCAAAATATCAGGATATTAAAACAATAAAAAGTTAATTATTATTCTTTGTATATTTCTACTGCTGGTCCTCAAGGGGCTCTGCTCATTTGAATCAAATAGGCGCCAAAGCTGCAGCAGTCCCCAGAATCTTTCCCTATAGCCTCTGTGGTATTAGGCCTCAGTGTTCACCACGATGAAGGAGGACATCTTAGAGAACTGTAACCCTGCTGTTAGACGGAGTCTGACAAAGTCCAGACACATAACTGTTTTATGAGTAAATTGCCAATGCCAATCACATGATCTAAAATTAATGTGGTGGGTGCCAAAGGAGAGGCAGACTACGTGTGTTAGTGAGATCTGATAGTGTCTGCCATAACACTTAATAATTTCTGGAGAATTTTACCATGGGATTGACATTTGAATATTCAATTTAAACTACTTATTTATGAAGCAGTTATAGGAATAATTAGGAACATTATGGAAACTATGTTTTAATTAACTTTCTAAGTGGTGAAAGAGTGAATTATTCATAAATTACTTCTGGAAACAGGACTCTGCTAAAACGCATGTAAGTGAACTTGAAGCAGCATCTCAATTTGTGCAATATAATAAAGAAAAAAAACTATTGGATCCAGAAAAAAATACACCATCACTTTTATTTATGGCTAATCCAGAACTTCAGGAAACTGATGAATGTTTGTGCACATAATGTTTTTATTATGGATATATCTGGGGCATATGGAACATACAGTCCCCTCAAAAATGGTCAGTTTCACTCATGCCCAACCCCGTATATATTTTAGGGTAACTTTCCTGGTCCGGTTAAGTTAGACCTAGACATTTTCACCTGACAAATCTAAGTAAACTTCTGTGGAAAAAACTGACCATTTGCCTAGAATGAATCTCTGGGTAAGGAAGATGCATATAGTCCTATAATTTACTGTAGTTATTTTAACACCTTGTCTTAAAGACACATCACAGGTTTATAACTGGACTTTTTTTCCTTCCTGAGCCACTTGCCATATAGCTTACTTTTCTCTAGCTCTAGGGAGGCTTCCCCATACAGACTAGGTCAACAGATTCTCTTCCACTGGCTCGTGGATGGGTTTGGCTACTGAGAATCAGTAAGACAAGATCAAAATTATAGGGAGTAAGGAGTAGGTAAAGGTGAAGTATTTATTTCCCTACTGATTCCCTTCCGAGCTTCCACATGTTGGTCACATTTCTCTACCAAATGGTAGTTATTGTGGGGTTCATTTAACTTCACCTTCCTCTTACCATAGACACAAAAGTTCCCTGCTTTCATTCACCTTCGGGTATTGCAAACATTTAAACATTATAAACGTTCCTCGAACATATTTTTTCCTTCCAGGACAATGACTGATACACCTTCTTGAGCTTGCAAGGGCAAATATAACTCTGCCTAACATAGTATCCCTGCTGTACAGCCTGGAATGTACTCCTACTCAATGGGATGGTTACACAATGAAATGAATGAGTGACTGCACTTATAAAATGCACATTGGAGTATGAGCTACGTCTTCCTGATGGTGGCCTTTTAATGTCAAATGAGATAATATATGTAAAAATGTTTTATAAATTTTTAAATGTGATAAATATTATTTTGTGTGAATGATAAATGTAGCTCTGGGTTCTATTGACTAAAAGATAAGCACTGCTCCTTCATGAATCAAACCATTAATTCCTGATGGTGTTTAATTATTATCGAACATATTTTTCCTCACAGGAGCTGTCATTTAAATGTGCTTGCCAACGAGCTTGTTTATCAAAACATTCCAGACCCTTTCAAATCCTCATTTACTTTGTTTCTTGTTTACCACACCCATAAATTTGTATTACCAGCATATTTAACTATCAGGCTATTTTGGAGATTGCAAAAAGAAGACCTGATTCATCATATGCAATACCTCACACATCTGTCATTTCTATTCTACTGCAATTTGGTGAGTTCAGCCTCTTTTTACTTCATGTTTGAATAATTGCAATAGATTTTATACTGTTCTCACTGCTAAACTTGCTCCCCCTATTACCATATAGACACTCATATTCATCTTGCATAATACCACCAGATTATTCTTTTTCCATCTATTTTCCTGTATATGTGTCCTCCACTTTCCTGTCTTTTTTTTTTTTTTTCTGTACTTCATTCTACCCATCTTAGTGAATAAATGTCTCTTCAACTCCCTCAGGCTATATATACATCAATTTTTCAAAATCCAAGTAAAACTTCACCTCCTTGAGAGTATTTTAGAGAGCCTGTAATACCTACATTTTTTTACCATTTGTTAGGAATATATTTCAGCCCCAGTTACGTGATTATTACATATTATAGTATATTAACGTTTGCAAACTCCTTGAAGCATCATACACACCCCAGACTGCTACATTCATTTCAACAACAAAACGGTTTTTTTTCAATTTTGTAATAAATATATTAAGAGCCTGTTCTCCTCCAGGCCAATTTTCTCCCCCTATATTTAAAGTGCTCTGATGGAGGTAACTTATTAATAATTTGAGACTAAAACAACTTTTCAAATATGCATTTCTTTTGTGCACACCAAGCTGGTGTATGCCTGCAGGCACTATTTCTATTAAGTGAACAGCTGGATATTGTGTAGTGGATTGACCAGGTGTTTGAGTGAACACATTAGTCACCATACAGAAGCAACTTAAAAGAATGAATCACAATGATAGTCATCCCACTCTGGGAAAAGGAAAATAAATAAATAAAAATGTTTCATATCTATCAGACAGCCACAAAGCACAGTTCCTATCAACAGGAACAAATTCAAATAAAAATGGCCCCACCATACATATTTTATTTGATTTACATCTAGCACTGAAGATACACTTTATGAATTTTTCCTTTATTCTGATAGTCATAAAATAAATGGAGGTGAATCACATAACTTTTGAATATCTAAATAGCCAGAGATAAGCTCTGCATATTAAATATCTTTTAATATTAAATCTACCAAAAAACATAGCAGGGGTTATATTTATGTTGGAACTGAGAAAACCTATTTAACACTCTTTCAAATTATCTAAACAGAAATTTTAAATACTTGACTAAAATTCACATTAAATTCTGAATTTTACATGACTTTATGTGGCTCTACCATTCATGCTGTTGAACTTCTGAGCTATTAATATTTACAAATAACCCATGTTCTTTCAAATGATTTCAATGCTTACAGAAACACATATCAAAGTACATACAATGGAATAAAACTGCGGCAATACAGAAAAATAAAAACTATCATATGACAACATGATGAAGCCAGAGTTAACATGAGCACATTAAATGAAATCCTAACATTTTCTTTTCAACTTTGTGCCTATGTCTTACTATGCTAATGTAGGTAATAAGCAGTATTTATAGATGGAAGAAATATGAAAAGAAGCTTGATTATTATTTGTGCAATTTCTAGAGTGCACTGACACTTACCAACTCTTAATGCTTAGATATCCAAACACTGCTTCTTTTCCAAGAAGGAATCATACAAAAAATGTAAGGCAGCATACTCTAATTTTTTTTTTTTTTTTTTTTTAAGATTGAGTCTCACTCCGTAGCCCAGGCTGTAGTGCAGTGGCGCGAGATCTCAGCTCACTGCAAGCTTCATCTCCCGGGTTTACACCATTCTCCTGCCTCAGCCTCCCGAGTAACTGGGACTACAGACACCCGCCACCATGTGTGGCTAATTTTTTTGTATTTTTAGTAAAGACTGGGGTTCCCCATGTTAGCCAGTATGGTCTCGATCTCCTGACCTCGTGATCTGCCCGTCTTGGACTCCCAAAGTGCTGGGATTGCGGGCGTGAGCCACTTTGCCTGGCCAGCATACTCTCTTATTCATAGATTTTGAATTTAGGCCTACATGAATAATAATATATTTACTATGATGTTACTATCAATCAACCTTATTTTTCTTTTCTATGAAATAGGAGCCAAAATAATATTTATTTCATATCTTATGAAGTTAAAAGAAAATATAACTAATAAGGGGCTTAACAATGAGTGTGATTTTGTAATTACTTTGTACCACTATTAATTGTCGAGATAGAATATGGTATCGCTAGTCATCCGTATCTATTGCCCAACTTCATTTTGATTCCTTCTTACTAGTTTGCATAGATAGGCCTGAATTTTTGATCCACTGCTCAACTCCTATCTCTAAACCATTGGTTCTCAAATAGAGGTGATTTTGATGCCTAGGGAACATTTGACAACATATGGAGATATTGTTGATTACACAGGGCAATGCTTCATAAGCACATAATTATCTGGCCCCAAATGTCAACAGTGTCAAATTCCAGAAACTCTGCACTAGGCTTTTCTATCTAGTTACCCACCTCTCTGCTTTGCCCTGCCCCCAATTTTATGGATATCGATTTCCTGATTTCTCACTGCATTACTCGCACTTATACAGATATTCTAAATTGATTTGTATATATCTTCCTAGTTTGACCCATTGCTTTTAACTGAATTTTACTGGGCTTTTATAAAGGCCATGTCCATGGAGTTCAGTCATTATCTTCACCAAATTTTTATTTGCTTCAGTCTGGGGAGGAACTCTATATTAAAAAATAAAAACAAAACCCAAAAACTAATTTATGAAAGATATTTTATAATGTAATTACTTAAACTTTTTTTTCTTCTTTCTTATATGAGCTTTTAAATTCAATGAGTGACGTGTGGTTTTCAGGCTGGGTCAGGAAGTTTGCTTGGAAGGGGAAATTTTGTCTGCTGAGACACTAGGGAGCAAATGCCCATGTGGGTGTAGGCTGGTCACGGACCTCCTAGGGTTCCCTATAAGTTAGTTGTGGTTGAGGTCGCCATCATCAGAACTTAATAGGCCCCTGGTACGAGTAAATCTCTGCACCACAGAGACTATTCAGTTATAGAACTCTGCTTCTGTGCATAGGCAACCTTTTTTGTTTTTTTTCAATTTTTTGGCAGCAAAGTTGAGAAAGTGAACACACAAACAGCCCATTTCTTAGCTTATCAATATCTGTACCAATTTCTTTCCCTCATCAACATACATTTTCCATATTTTGTTGGTATCAGCCTCTGACACTCATCCACACAAGAAAGTCTACAAAGCCTAAACTAACTTTTAAACATTATTTAAGTTAATAACTTGTCTTCTACCAGAAACCTGGATACATTTTTAAAAGGATTTGAAGAACTATATACGCTAGAGACAGAGAAAAAAATTAGTGCTGACCAGTCTGGGCCTACTTGACTAAAACAAGATAGATTAAATTAATAAAAGCAAGATGTTCTGCATTTATAAAGATGTTAACTCTTTTTAATGTGTATGACTCATTAATGAGTTTATAATTAGATTTTGAAGGATTTCATTCTGGATCTTGCAGATTGTGAGTATTTTTCTGGTAAATTAGGAAGCATGATTTTTCAATAAAAAAGCTCACTGGAAACCCCTGTAACAAGTAATAAATATTAAAAATTTGCAGAATTGTTTACTCATTCAATAAATAATGACTCCACATTTTTAGAAATACTAGAGATAAAGCATTTCTAAAGGCAAATTCTACTGTTTCCTGGTTTTACATTCTAGATTTTAAGACAAAGATGTCTTCCTTGAAATTTTAGTTATGTGAAAGAAATTTCTTAGTGATATAATTTTTTCTTACTCTGACTCTGTGAGACTTTTGTTTATATTTTATGAAACTATTACTATATAGTACATTATAGGAATATATTTGAGAAATCATTTTTAGCTTTTAGAAATTAATTTGCATAATATATTTTAATTTTAATAAAGCTCCATTCCTCTAGTCCTTTCATATTTGGAAGATATTTCCTATACAATATCTTCTCTATTATTTAATACTGCTGTTTTAAAAAAAAGAAATTGAAACCTTTTACTCATATATACCAGACTTCCAAAACTGTCTTAGCTTAAAAATCAGTTCTCCAAAATGCTTTCTCTAACTGAACTTTATATCTTAGGTGCAAGTATAATCCTGATAAATACTATAGTCAGGCATTTTTAAAACTTTATGTTTTCCATTTTTGCAGCAGGGTATCATCTTCTTGCCCTTTCCCTCACTATAGTATCCTTCAAGAACATTATTAGCTCGAATTCCAAATTTCAATGAAACAATCATCTATCCATTTTGTAATTCATTGTTTTATTCAATAAATAATTAGTGGATGATTTCTGTGTGTCAGGAATATATTGGGAGCTTGGGGACAAAGTGGTGGGCCAAATAGGCATGTTTCTTCCTTCACAGAGTGTATATTTTAACTACATTAGTCACAATAATGACTCGGTAAAATCTAAATACTACGATAAAAGGAAAGATATGTCTGGATACAAATAGTCAAGAACTAATGCACAGATCATTGACTTTGTCCAGTTTGGGGGATCATCATTTATATAGAGCACTTTATTTTCTTAACTTAGTTATGAAAGACTGTTACATTGTTTTAATAAGGAATCCATCTAAATCATACTTTTATGCATGAAGGGAGAGAATGGTAAATCTACTTTCTTCTCTGGCTTAACAAAAGGCCCTATAGGTATTATTAAAGTGTTTATAAAATGTAAAATATATTTTAAATGTTAACATGGCAACTACTTAGGAAAAAAGAATAAAATAGATGGAAAAACTGTTAGGGATTAAAGATTCTGTTTTAGAGGACATAGTAACAATATTTGTAGAGCATTTGCCTTAAAATATGTGTTCATTAAACACTAACTTGAACAGGATTATAGATTTTCATACGTCTTCACATTTAAAAGGCAAATAAGATTGATGCTTTTGTTAATATTCTCAATTCACCACTTTATCAAAACTAGTTTCTTGACACAGAATAGTGTCTGCATTTCCACAGCCATAAGACAGAATAAAACATTTTCTCCTTTTTTAACTTTCTCTTTCTCTCTTCTTTTCCCTTTTGGCTTTAGAAAGCCAAAGGCCTAGAGTTTTATTTGTTTGCTGTGAAAGAAAACCCTGACCATAAGAGCTTAACACTAACAATACAAAACCAGGAAAGGGCAGAGAGGAATTTCTAACAAACGAGATATGAGGCACACAATGGTTTGCTTCTATGACTTAGACACATTTCCACATATTTTCCAAGGTAATTTTGTGCTATTTATATTTTGATCATAAAGCCAAATGTTAACAAACATAAATTATGGACATTAGAAGTTATTTACTCACATGTTCATTTAGTTAAGCAATTTTGAAAATTCATTTTTGTTTTGTATAGAAATGAAACACAAGCTTTTACTTCTCTGACTTGCCTATTCCTGTTGATAAGCAGAGTTCTATAATGTTCATAATTACTGTTTGCCACTATGTTGGTTATTTCACAGTAGTTGTCCTGAAAGTCCACAATGAAACAATATTTTACATAGTTACGTACCCTATAATATCATCTTATGTTATTAAGGTGACAGTTACAGACAATAAAAATTTTTGTAAATATAATGTTATAAAATTTATAGTGAATGCATGAAATGCTCATTTTATAAAATGCAATATGACCTGAATTTCTGATATAATGGTAGAAGACAAAAATGTTTAAATAAGCTAAATCCCCTTTGAATATAGTTCTACATTTGAAATATTACTTTGCTTTTAATACAATAGTAAAATTTAAGTCCTGCTATTTTATATCTCAGATTTCAAATGTACTTCCATCTTTTAACCATATTCTATATTCATTACCCTTTAATTTTATAATCAGAGTATTTTTATTTTTAATCATAAGAATAAAATACATGATATTTTCCTTAAAATGAGGTAATTAATAAATAGTTCAACTTAATGTAATTGTAGAATTCGTATTTTCTTTTTTTTTTATTATACTTTTAAGTTCTAGGATACATGTGCACAACGTACAGGTTTGTTACGTATGTATATTTGTGCCATGTTGGTGTGCTGCACCCATCAACTCGTCAGCACCCATCAACTCATCATTTACATCAGGTACAACTCCCAATGCCATCCGTCCCCACTCCCCACTTTCCATAATAGGCCCCAGTGAGTGATGTTCCCCTTCCAGAGTCCAGGTGATCTCATTGTTCGATTCCTACCTATGAGTGAGAACATGCGGTGTTTGGTTTTCTGTTCTTGC